CCCCCACGGCCCTCCTGAGAGACTGAGCCTTAATCCAGCGCGCTTGTAGACCCGCCTCGGCCCACCCACCCTACGCGTGTTTTCAATGAAAAGAATAAGAGCGCTAATAAAAAAATCAGCAGAAGAATGACAGCCTTGAAGCAGGTAACCAAAATTATCATAAATCAAATTAGCCCTTCAGCCAGTGACCAAGAAGTCCAAGAGTCCAAAGTCTCAACAATTGGCGGCAACTCCGTCCCAAAAGCAGCACCAGACCCTTCAGTTGAGTCCCACACCCTCCAGGACTGAGTTTTTTTCCTACCCAGCCGTGCTTGAGGTTGGGTGTGGTTTCCCCAAAATATCACTTGATTCTTGTATACGATCAGATGGCAGTGTGGGATTTTGAAACCCACCGCCTAAACATGATGTCGCTATAATCCTATGAAAATGTTCAAAAAATGTGCTCAAACCTTCACATGGTGTGCTAAAAGTCAGCCGTGAAAGACAGTCTACTGACAGTTTTGGAGATTCTTCAAATGCCCGTTGCCTATGGCAACACAATGCCGCCATGAAACCACGGTTTTCTCATAACTTCAGTGAAACTGCCCAAACGCCCCAAAACTTCACAGGTGTTGGATAACGATGCAGCCCATCAACGCATCTAAGCGTAGTTGGGGTTGTGACAAATGCCGTTGCCATGGCAACAGATCATTCGCATCAAGTTAGTTAAGATTTGCAGTTCAAATATTCTGCTGCTTTTCCAAGCCTTTTACTTTCTTTTCTTCTCTCATCACATTATTCAAGCCCAGTGTTCATGTAATCATTTCAAGTCTAAATTCTTCCACTTTTTTTCGTGTGACACATTACATTCAGCATAGCAGCTTATGCGTCACATTTTCAGCATAAAGCATTCTACTAGCAAATTTCTTCAGGAATTGCATGTTCTCTAGTATTTATATGATATACTACAACACTTTTTTTTGTACCTTAACTCCTTCCACATTTTCCACCCACAAAATCTGTTCAAACTCAAAATGTTCATTCGATCTGGAAATCGATTGGCTATTATTACTTTTTAGTCAAAATGTCATATTTCCAGAGATACATCCCATAATACATCACATTTTTAACCATTGATCAAGGAAGAAAATTCCTTTCACTTCAACATATCTCAATGCAACTTCACTTGCTTACGTTCCATTCATATTTCCCGTCAGAAACCTTCATTCCAACTTTAAAAATGTTACGCATCTTTCTGACATTATTCGTGTAAAACAACTTTTAAATCTGATTCTTACTTTTAGAGATATTAAACATTGTTCAGACCTTGTTTTAGAGGTTTTCTTCACATTTTAACATTACATGTAACTAGAGTGTGTGATGTCACAGCTAGAGTGGAGGACAGCTTGAAATTCGCATTCATATTTTTTTTTTAAACTGCCATAATTCCCAAACCCTACATTCCCGAGACATAATTTATCATGACAAACGTAGGAAAACATCTCGTAGCTTGAAAAATGACAAATAATTAAGCAAAAATAATTAAACAAAAGGCTTTTTGAGGGCATGAAGTGACAAAAACGTTCAACATTCCTCCATTAAACCCCATTGTAACTTTCAGGCAGATATTTCCTCACGGCAGCAGCCGCACACCTTTTAGTTAAACTGCCAAAAAGGCCACATTATTAACCCGAAACTACACAAAAATTACACTTCAGATACTCAACTTCCTTGACATGTTTCACGTTTTGAAATTTCACAGATATTTGTTACGGTTCTTCCACAAAACTTTCACATGTAAGAGGTTTATCTCTCATTCATAAAAATTAAGCCTTTGATCTCTACAGAGCTCGTTAGCTCAACTATAAACACCTGTGTAATGGAACACGATGATGTCATCACTCCAACTGACATGCTCAGCAGCAGACTTCAGATAGCAGTGTGCAAACAGTCCAGCCGTGAAGACATCTACGGGACAGTTTTGAGATTTCTTCAAATGCCGTTGCCATGGCAACACAATGCTCGCCTTGAAACACGGTTTTCTCAGAACTTCAGTGAAAATACTCCAAACAGCCTAGAACTTCACAGGTTTGGTAACGATGCAGCCATCAACGCATCTAAGCGTAGTATGGGGTGTCATCAAATGCCGTTGCCATGGCGACGGACCACTCGCCATAAAACAAGATGTCGCTGTAAGTCCAATCGACACGGTCCAATCGTCCCCCAATCTTCACTTGTATATCACCGGTCCATGCCTCAACATAACTACGCCAAATCTGAGATCTCACCATATGCCGTTTCCATGGAAACGCATCCCTCGCCATAAAACATGATGTCACTATAACTCCTATGAACATGTTCCAAAAGTGCTCAAACTTCACATGTGTACTAACAGTCCGGCCGTGAAGACATCTACGGGACAGTTTTGAGATTTCTTCAAATGCCGTTGCCATGGCAACACAATGCTCGCCATGAAACACGGTTTTCTCATAACTTCAGTGAAACTGCTCCAAACGCCCTAAAACTTCACAGGTTTGGTAACAATGCAGCCATCAACGCATCTAAGCGTAGTATGGGGTGTCGACAAATGCCGTTGCCATGGCGACAGATCATTCGCCATCAAGTTAGTTCAGAAGTTTGCAGTTCAAATATTCTGCTGCTTTTCCAAGCCTTTTTACTTTCTTCTCTCATCACACATTCAAGCCCCCAGTGTTCATGTATCATTTCAATCTCAAGTCTTCACTTTCTTCTTACACATTACATTTCAGCATAGCAGTTTAGCATCACATTTTCAGCATAAAGCATTCCCACTAGCAATTTCTTCAGGAATTGCATTCTCTAGTTAATATTAGAGTGCCTGTTTCCTTGGTTTATTGCGTTATGCAGCTTCTCGTTAAGTTCCCACCTGAACTTTGAATGCATTCAGCTCATAAATCCTCCAAGTTATTATTAGCTTAATGTCTCTGGCAGCGACATACTGATACTGAAATGAAAAATGCTGCTTGTTATGAAGCAGGTCATGCGGCCAAATCTGTGTCAAAGCTGTTTTCCAAATCAATAGGAGCTAAAAACATGTGATTCCCCCGATGCATGTCTAAGACCGAATTAAAGTATTTTCCTTTTTAAATTGTCGATGACATTTAAAAACTTTTTTTCATTTTTGTTTTTTGTCTCTGTTGTGGAAAAAAAGATTGTTTATTAAATTATTTTAGGTACATATTTTCAGCACATTATGAATTTAAGGTATATTTCCATTTGGCTCAGTCTATAATTTAAAATGTTGTAAAAGTTCAAGCACAGACATTTCTGAATGTATAATAAAGCCCTCTGACACAGAATGGCCTGAGCTAGTCTGCCCTCCCTGCAGACATCGCTGTCTCCTCTGGGAGACTTCTGACCTCCACCCTTCACCCAAACAATCGGAGATCTCCAGGGTGGGGGATTCAGAAGGGTTTGCGTGTCTCTGTGAGGGTGTGTGTGTGTTTCATGAGACGACACACACGCACACAGACACACATCTCCACCCTGCTGCCTGTCATTGTTATTTCGCTTCGGCAGCGTCACTCAGGAAAGAGGCGCCCGGGGATTGTGTTTGTTTCAGCAAGGGTGTGTTTGACGTGTGTCTGTGTGTGTGTGTGTGTGTGTGTGTGTGTGTGTGTGTGTGTGTGTGTGTAATGACAGAGTACAAGCTCAACGCAGGGGCTTCCTGTGTCACCCCTATACTAGCCTGAGGAGCGTGGGAAACACTGAGAGTGATCGACCACAGATAAAACTAAATTACCATGTGTCAATCCAACTTTATCATTGTACTAAACAGAGTAAGCAGACGTCATTAAACAGCCCATCTACACGACCCTATCAAGCCTTTTGTCAGCTAATGCTAAAAGTTGTGGAAAAATGACATGACTGTTAAAACTGTATTGTAAAATGTTACTGATGTTATAAATGTCCTTTAGTGGGACAGGAAGTGGATTTGAGTAACAGGGAATTACTGGAATAATACACCTTTGACCCACCAGTAAGCTGTCAGGTGATAGGAAGGAACTACATATTAGATTATGGCTTTTCTGAACACTTATGAAATTGTGTATTTTTTTAAAGTATGGAAATAGTTTTGACTCAAACTAAAACATGAATTTATTTTAAAAGTCCTGCATCACTACAGTATGTTTTAAGACGGCACTCTGTCTGCTAGTTTTTGTAAACAGAAATATATCCAACAGTGACCTCTGCTGTTATAAAAATGAACACTTTCTGCAGTGTAATGCAGGTCTCATGGAAACATTCATAAAATAGCATAACAGGAAAGCTTTCTGTGGAGGCTGCTCTCAACATTGCAGGTGAAGAGGTAGAGGCTTGAGGCGGATGGGAGTGTAATAATCACACAAATATTTAATAATTTGACAATGACCTTCAAAGGACCTCTCTTCAGTGTGTGCATGTATGTTTTTTAGTATACTCTTCTTTGCTATGCAGAGGAATCTGAGCCAAGGCTTAGAGGCTTAACATTTTGGCAAAGAAAGCTAAATGTTGTTGGACTAGGCCCAAGTAAATCTGGATTAAGTCATTTGAGGAAGGAATTCATGATTCGGAGACCCCCTCCACACACGGTTTAAGACGTATAAAATACTACTTTGAATAACTACTTTTTACCAAGTTGGTAAAAAGTAGTTTGATTTGAGCATATGGGAATAGGCCTAATGTTCTTTTACAAAACAACTGGAGTGATTTTATCTATCTGAAAGTTCTTCTGATGAAACATACTTGCAGCTTCAAAAATATATATGATACAACAGGGTAAGCTTTAGGTTGTATCTACCTTGTGATTGACAGGTTGCAAACCCTGCAAGCTGGTCATCCGGATAGACGTTTAGCAGTTTGTATCCTTTAAGTGCGCTCCCCTTTCGTCAAATATGGCACTTCATGCCAAACCTGAGGCTTGAAAACACAGCGCAGTAAAAACGCAGTATTTTAAGGTGTCCGAAAATGACAATAAAATAGCGGTATGCAACGTGTGTGAAGCAGAAATCCTGCAGCTCTACCCGCTGTGACGTACCTGTGAGCGGAGCAAAAACACACACTAAGAGTTAGACCTAACACACTTAGCTATTTGATCTACCTCTGGAACAAGCTAAACTAGTTATAAATATGTTTATTCTTCACTGTCGGGTCTCTCATTACTGGATCAGACATAATATGAATATGAATAATTGTAAACCTGATCCCAGGGTGAAACTACTCCCTAGTGTGATATTGATCATCAGTCAGTCAAAATGTTGAATTGTGTGAGCACTTACTGAATATAAAACATTAAACATCGCCACAACAAACGTGTGTGTGTGTGTGTGTGTGTGTGTGTGTGTGTGTGTGTGTGTGTGGTCGGTCACTCGATTAACACCATTTATCTTGACTCCTGACCTATGCTCCTGACCCACAGGCATGTCTCGCAGATTGCTACTTCAGTGAATTGTGGATGGATGCCAATAAGGCTGACCTAAAGTAAAAGCCTTCCATCAATAAAAAGTATTTTAGCAAAATCCTAATTGGAAACGAATGACCCCTGAAGGAAGCATGTGACAAATGAAACGCTGTAAATGAAGTTGGGTGGTTCTCAAAATTAAAGTCTCCTGTTTTGTTTTGTCTTACAGATTACGCTGAAGAACTGAGGTTCTACCTTATTCACATGACAGAGGTAAGAGAAAGCCTTGTGTGAGTTTTAAATGAGGGTCTAATGTGAGAAGCCTATTTTGTGTGTGAGCCAGAGGGGCTACTGAGGCCGTGGATAATCACGTTAAAGGCAAGACACTAGAATTAGCAGAAGGCTCTAATGAAAATATATTTGTATGTGCGCCTTTCTCAGATCCAATGACACACACACACACACGCACACGCACACACACATGCACACACACTTTATATTTTTGTACATACATCGTAAACAATTAAATACTAAAACACAAACTTTAAATATTTGTAATCCTATTTCATTATTAAAAGTGTTTTATATATTCCCACCTAAAAGAATCCTCATTTTAAACAAGGCTGTGGAAACAAGGTGCACTAAACTATGTTGCCTGGAGATAGTGCTATTCAGTATAAAACAATTAGAATGAGTCAAGATATTATATATCTATTGATTTACATTCCAATGTTTTCCTTTATGAAAACTAGTCATCCTTTCTCCCATCTGCTGTAGCACCTCTCAGGCTGTCATTTTAAGTTGAAAGGCTTTGGGCATAATGAATATTTCATCGTTGTGATCATTCACGGATAACTGTAATGGCACTTTAAAGGCTTAAACTTTTTATTGTTTAAGCTGCATGAAAGATATATGGCCATGGCTGGAATCTGGTAGTTTGAAAATGTATGTTCCCATATAGCTCAAAGGAAACAGTATATTGTTGCCTTAAAGATGTCAAATGTAAAAAGAATACACTGAAACTCTAAGAGTAACTGCATGTTAAAAAGCATTTTTTTGGTTTAAAAATCATAGTTTTAATTAGATTTTTATGGGACCCAGCTAGGTGAATTTCTTTCTTCAGGGCTGCTCTATGTAATTAGTTTTAAAAGCCAAAATATCACTGTCTGTCCTGCCCGCAGCCATTAAGGCGTTTAGACCGTCGTCTTCAGATAAAAAATCTAATGAAATCAGCTGCATTCAGACAAAGAAAGAGGATTTGATCTGACCAATACTTTATAGTTATGAAGCCTGTTTGTCTGCTTGACAGCCTTAACATTGTGTGTGTGTTCCTGGCAATTCTTCTGTACCTAATGAGCATTTTGAGCAGATGGTTGTCAATAATTTCTTTGTTTTTCTTTTTTGCATTTTTGAACTGGAGAAATGTGTGTGGGAATGAAACTGCAGCTTTATCTCACTTTCAATGTTGCCATACATTATGTTTTCATCAGTAATCACATTTCGGTTCTACCATCTCACATCTTTCAACCTTATTTAGTTCAAGTGTAGAAGATGTAAAAAACTGACATTTTCTTCTACGCTCTGTGTTTGGAGACCTTTCCATCATCGCCTCCAGCCAGATTTACCTTGATGTGAAGTATGTTATCTAACAGAGCATACAAGTGTGCTTAAGCATGCTGAGTATAAGCCGAGCAAATTCATGGTTCATGTATTTACAAGAATATGTAGCCGGGTGATACAATGGCTTGGGTAGAGTTTATGTTCAGTCATTTTATTAAGTGGTTAACCCAGTTTTCTAATAGTAGAATGTCTGTTACCAAACATATATAGTTTTAGCTTTTCAGCATCTTCAAATCTGTATTTCTTTGGCCAAGGAGGTAATAATACAACCGTTTTTTATGGTAGCCTGATTTAAATTCACTATCAGAAACCACAACAGGAAAAACGAATGAGAGCACATATTTTGTTGTGCTCTATTTGAGCTGATACTGACCTAATACATTGGTTTGGATTGACCTCTCTACCACACCTTTGTACTCGATACACTCTTTAGTTTGACAAATCCCAGTTTATAGACCTGATACTTAAAAATGTCATAAACTGTACAACTCAAAATACATAATATGGTGAATCTGTGAAACTCAGCTCATACATTTCTTCCCCAAACAAGGTCATCTTTCTTTTTAGTCTTTTGAAAAAACATTGTACGACATTTAAGTTCCTTAAACCTTCCTTAAACTGAATATATTATGTCTCAAAAGTGTTTTAACAATTAAGCTGAAGAATCTGCTCAAGGGGCCATTTTCTGTCTTTTCCTTTTTACTGCAATTTCTTGTGGCCAATATCTGCTCGTATGGATAATCTTTTCACAGAGAGACTCGATAAACCCCGTAGCCCTGACTCCTGCTCCACACACACACGAACACACATACATTGTCACAGTATTTTTGCTTTGAAATGTGCCGCATAGCAGCTTATGAATCTTTTAGAGAGCCTTTTTTTATCGGAAATTCCAGACAGAATGAGAGATGCCCGAGATCTGTCCCGCCAGGCTAGAAAAGAGGAAGGGAAAAGCTTCAACACTATTTAGACTATCCAATTAGGGGAATGTATTAAAATAAAACCTCTTGCGTAAGAACGCATGAAAGAGAAAGTGAGATAGTTTGAGTAGAAAGGCAGATTTGTGATTTTATATATGCGTCACAGGAAAACAGAATTGCTCGAATGGTGGTATCAGCTCAGCTAAAATATGTTTGTGTTTGTTTTTGTTTGTGTGTGTGAATTTGTTTCCATTCAAAATGCACTTGGCTCAGCTTTATTTCTCTATCCCTCCTGTCAGCTGCCTCCCAACGTACAGAGTGTGCATTCATCTATTATAGTTGATACACCTGTCAGCAGTTAATTTCAAACCTCAGGGAGCAAACAGTAGCCACAATGAAACGCTGCATGCAGTTCACTCATACTGTAACTCTTATCTCTCACATTTACTGTAAGATATACTTTTTAAAAGATACTTTGTTTTCATAACTCCATATGCAGTTTAAATCTATGCTGATGCATTATGAAATAATTAGGGATGCTCCGATCGCCGATCGCCGAAATCAGTATCGGCCGATACCGATCGCCGATCCGATCAAGTGGGCGGGGCCTAAATGGAAGATTTAAACATCACTTTAAATCTTCCATTTAAAGTGATGTTTAAAACTCAGTTAATGGGGCTCATTCACTGGAGCTTCCACAAACAACAATCAACTTAATTATTATATTCAAATGAATTACATTATTCAAGTTTACATTCACTTTGGATAATAACACGGGAGAAATGAGCGGAAGCGCTCTCTTTTCCTCTCTCTCTCCCTCTCTCTCTCCCCCTCTCTCTCCCCCTCTCTCCCTCCCCTGACAGCCTGTCAGTATCTCATGCAGCTCACTGATCCAGTAAGGAGTGACCCGACAGTGAAGAATAAACATATTTCTAACTAGTTTAGCTTGTTCCAGAGGTACATAAAATAGCTAAGTGTGTTAGGTCAACTCTAATTAGTGTGTGTTTTGCTCCGCTCAACGGTCCGTCACAGCGGGCGGAGCTGCAGGATTTCTGCTTCACACACGTAGCATACCGCTATTTTACTGTCTTTTTTGGACACCTTAAAATACTGCCAGACCGGTGAAGCCATTTTGGCGAGCTTGTTTTGCCGCGCTCAGAGAAAAGTGTCATGTATTTTACGTCATGTGATCGGCTCTCACGATCGGCCTTTATAGAGAGCAGAATATCGGCCGATCTCGATCGGAGACCGATTCTATCGGAGCATCCCTAGAAATAATCAATGAAGGCACTCTCTGTGATTTGGTGTACACATAAAATGGAAGATTTAAGTGATGACAGAGTCTTTACAGAGTAGTTGACCTTCTGGTCCTCCTGGCAGGGCACACTGTTGTGTGAGGCAGAACAAAATGTGACCTGGATGGAGAGAGGGATCAGTGAGGATGAAGGCATGAATGACTTTGGCTCAATGGATCGAGTCATTTGATTGGCTCGATGGAAGGAGAGAATTCTTGACTCCGACTTAATGCAGGTTTTTATCTTGCCTGGAACACCCCTAATACACACTGATACACTGTTCCTGACTTGAAGACACTTCTGGAAATCCATCTGCTCTGATTCACAAGCAACCACACGGCAACATATGTGACTCCTACTTATCACCCCATAAAACGTACTTCTCATGCAGCAGACCTCTTCACTAGAGCTCTTCATCATAGGGAACCATAGTATCTCCTCCATGTCTCGTCCGTTCTTCTGTCCATTGTTTTTATTTCGAGGCAGACATGCATCTTTGAAATGGTCTCTTTGCACATTGGACTTTCAATGAGTTATTTAAAAGATGTTAGCAAAGATTGAGGAAGGATAGCACTTCAATTCAGCAGCAGTAGGAAAATGACTCCTGTAATTTCTCTAAAAGTTTTGAGTATACCACTTCAGTTTCCTCCTTTCTAAGTCCGCTCCCCTCCTTTAGTCTACTCCTGCCCTTCTCTTCCATCGCTGGAGGTCATTCTATTTTAGCACTTTCTCAAAACGGAACTGATCTAACCCAGATTTACACGTGGAGGGAGATTGTGTGTGTTTGGGGAGGTGCAATTGTGTCTCTGCAAAGTCAATTGCGTGCGTGTGTCAGCGAAGCAGGAAGAGAGGAAGCAAGAAAGCATTGTATAGGTGATTGAGGAACACAGAGAACGAGGATAAATACTGTTTGAAATTATTGTCCAGCGGATTGCGTCAGGGTCATCGCAGAGTCACCATGGGCAACTTGGTAGATCGGGTCGGGCCTAAGAAGAGGTTTGTTAGAGAGGCCAGCTCTCTACAGAAGCACCTGCTATCTGACTCCGGAGACGTAAGTCCTACTGATTGATGTTTCGGCTCAGGGGGCATTCAAAGGTTAGGAGAGGGAGATTTGTGTCGTTAGCACTGTGTAGATCAACGGCATGAAACAGGAAGTATTGTTACCTTAATTTTGTCATAGAAAGAAAAACCACGTTGCAAGTATACAACTCTTTATGACTGAAGGTGACACTCCAAGGTCTCGAGTGAGTTGTATTAAAAATCATATGTATTTGTGTGTATGATTAGCTTATTATATGTCAGACTTAATACATTTGATCTCAGTAATTAATCAGTGAGCTTTGTGGCCCTGAGGTGACCATGATGACTTTGCCCAGAAATGTATATCTTACTGAATGTTGCTGTTCCTGCTGTTACTATACAAAACGTGCTGTACTGT